GGAGGTGTCAGCACATGGTTTATTCGGTGTTTCAAGCAATATTCTTTAAATCGATAGCTGGTGAACTGTGGACCGTTGTCCGATACCAAGGATTCTGGATATCCCCATCTAGGAAATATTTCGCCTAGTACCCCCATAGTTCTTTCAGATGTGGTGGTGGTCATTCCTTTTACCTCCACCCATTTGGTAAAGGTGTCTACCAATATGAGCCATATTGTGTTTTTGAACGGTCCTGCGAAATCTATGTGAACTCTTTGCCAAGGTCTTGTCGGTTTCTCCAAATGATGATCTTGCATTCTTGGAGGATTGTTTGCCCATGTGTTACATGATTCGCATTGACGACATAGTTCTTCTATTTCATGGTCGATTCCGGGCCACCATACATATTGTCTGGCTAAACTTTTCATTCTGACGATTCCTTGATGACCATTATGTAATTCGTTTAGTATTTTTTTTCGCAATTCTGTTGGAATTATTATTCTGCCTCCTTTGTATAAACATCCGTCCTTTTCCCATAAATTGTTTTTGCACATTTCGTATTGTCTTAGTACACTGTCATCTTTTGACTTGAATTGTGTTTTTATACTCTCCTTTACCTTTTTTAACATGTCGTCGTTTTTAAGTTTTTCCCGAATTTCGTCTATCGATATTGGATGTTCGTTTATAAAATATACTTCTTCATTATGGTCTTTGGTTTTGTCTTCCATTGGGCATCTTGAAAGTTCGTCTGTCACTTTGTTTTCCTTGCCAGCTTTATACTTTATTTCGCAATTGTACCCTCCTAATATTAGAGACCATTTGAGCAATCGTGGTGACGTTATATTTGCCGAACTTTTGTTACCAAATATATACATAAGAGGTTTGTGATCGGTCCATATTGTAAAAGTTTGACCCACTAAATATTCATAAAATTTCTTTACTCCAAATACAAGCGCTAATGCCTCTCTTTCGATAGTTGAGTAGTTTTTTTCTGCCGCAGATAGTGTCCGTGAAGCAAAACCTATGGGATTCTCGGATCCGTCTTTCTCGATATGAGACAATACGGCTCCTACGCCTTTCATAGACGCATCCGTAGTGAGTTGGATATCTTTACCTGGATCAAAATGAACGATTATTGGAGGATTAGTCAAACATCTCTTTAAGATTTCAACACTGGATCCGCATTCTTCCGTCCATTGGAAATTGTTGCCTTTCTTTAATAAGTCATAAAGGGGTGCCGCGATTGTTGAATTGAAAAATTTTTTATAAATCGATGATAGTAATTCATAAGTCCTAATAGTGACTGCAATTCGTTGACTGACTCAGGAATTGGAGCATATTTTATCGCTTCTAGTTTTTCATCTGAGGGCATAAGACCTTTGCTGGATATGACATGTCCTAGGTATTTTACTTTTTCTTTAAGGAATTTGCTCTTTTCGAAATTCGCTTTGAGACCGAACTCCGACATTCGTTGGAATATTTCCTCTAGATTTTTTAGATGCTCTTCATCCGAAGAACCGGTAATTATTAGATCGTCAATGTAGTATGCTACCCCCGTCATTTTCCCGAAAATTAGGTCCATGGTCCTTTGAAATATTGCTGACGCCGGGGTTATTCCGAATGGCATTCTTTTAAATTGGAATAAACCTTTGTGGGTGTTAATAGCTAAATACTTCCTCGAATCAGAATCTATTACTATTTGATGGTAAGCATTTGAAAAATCAATGGTTGAAAACTTTTCCCCTTTTCTTAATTTGTTGAATATTTCTTGTATTCTGGGGATAGGGTATATGTCCGGTGTCATCCATGGATATATAGTTATTTTGTAATCTATGCACAACCTAATATTCCCATTGGGCTTCACTATCGGGGCCAGAGGACTGGCCCATTCTGAGAATTTTATGGGTTCTATTATGTCATCATTAATCCATTTAGTTAATTCCTCATCCACCTTTTCTTCTAAGGCATACGCGATTTTCCTGGGGGCGCAGAATTTTGGGATCGCGTCGTCTTTTATACTCAAATGGACTTCCATATTGTTCAATTTCCCTAATTTTTTATCGAATATTGTTACGTACTTCTCCGTTAAGGCTTTTAATTCTTGTTCCACATAATATATTTTGTTATTATTATCGTATGTGTTTTCTGTTCCTGCTAATATTGATTCTTTCCATACCAATTCTCTGAATTCCTTTATCCAGTTTATACCTACCAATGAGGATCCATCAGCTTTCACTATTATTAAGGGTAGATATTTTATGGTTTCTTTTATTTGAACTTTTACGTCCATGCTGCCTATGATGGCGATTTCGTTACCTTCGTACGTCTTTAATTTTGTGTCCGAATCATGAATTGTTTTATTGGAATTGATTTTATTCCATGTCTTTAATGAAATGATTGATACTGATGCTCCTGTATCTAGGATCATTTTTGTTTTCTTACCTTCTATTTTTAAATTGATTTTGAATTTTTCTTTACAAGATTTGATATCCATCGAGTATATATACGATATATCTTCCTCTTTGTCTCTTTGATCGCAATATTTAATCAGATGTTTATCGCTACCGCATTTGAAGCAAGTTTTTTTTGTCTGACTGTAATATTGATTGTCGTTGTATTTAAAGTTATTATTGTTGGTGTTGTAATTTCCCCTTGTCTTATCGTAAGAATATTGATACTTATTTTTATGATAATAATTATTGTTGTCGTACCAGTTTTTATGTCGGTAGTTATCATTGTTATTATATTTGTTGTCATTATTATATTTGTTATCATTATTATAATATTTGTTATCATTATCATATTTGTACCGCGGATTAACGTTGTTATATCTTCCATAACTCGAGTTGTCATAATTATTATATCTAGTAAATCTGTTATCGAATCTCGTTTGGTGGGGATAATTGTCACTGTAGCGTTCCTGAACTCTGTTATTATATCATTACTATTATACCTTTTATTGTCATGTATATAGTTTATTTCTTTATTTTCTATTTTGTCTTCCTCTTGTTCCTTTCCGGCTTGACAATAAAATATATCTTTTGTTTTTTCCTTTTCGTCTATTAAGTCCATGGTTCGAAGGAGTTTTTCAATTTCCTCTATACCCATATCTTCTTCGAGTAATAACTTTGTCGTGATATCTTTGCTTTCTAAACCATTAATTATTTGCATTTTTAAGTTCTCTTCATATTTTTCTTTGAAGTTGCATTTAAGTGCCAAAGATTTTAGTGAATTTAGAAATTCTAAATTGGTTTCCCCGTCCCTTTGGGTACGTTTATAAAATTGAAAACTTTCCAATGGTGCAATTTTTTTATCGTTGTCTATTAGCGAATCTAGCATATCGTCGTATTTTATTTTATTAATTGACTTCGGAGAGAATTTTAAAATAACCTTATTTAAGTCATAGGTTGATAATGCCGATATCAATGCTGCTCTCTTTTTCTCGTTGTCCGATATATCATTTAGTATAAAGTAGGCTTCTAGTTTTATTCGAAAAGTCGTAAATGAGTCATTGTTTTCTTTAACAGGAATTGCTGCTGGCATTTTAGACAATTTTATATCAAATTTAAATTTTCTCTTTTTTTTTATATATATATTTCCGAGCGGGTTTTTCCGTATACATAGTCGCCATTATAAAAAAAAATAAATTAAAAAAATAAAATAAAAAAAATGATGAACATAACAACCTTATTAATGCCATTATGATGGATTTGTTTTGTGTGAACATATTTACAGTTTAATGATAATAAACATTAATTGGCCTCCTCTAGGTCAGTGAAATTCTTTACGATTTAATAAAAAGTAACTGACAAGTCACATATCTACAAACTATACCAATCAAGAAAACGTTTGGATAATATTATTGTTAAAAAATTTATGGTATTTATTAACATGAAGTTCCTTTTTTGAAGTTCCTTTTTTTAAAGGTGGACATTAAACGTGTTCAATTTTTGACAATGAACGTTGGACATTTTCGATTTCTTTTGGAAATGTTTATAGCTGTAATATAACCTTTTAAAAAATAAATAAAAAGTTTCAAATATTTTTTCTCAAATTCTTAGAAAAGCAAAATTTTCCTCTATTTTGTTTTAGCATGACCCCTGATAATATTTTTAGAGTGACAGTAAGACTCCGCAGATATTTTAAGACTACAGCATTGAAGTTTTCCAAATGAGAAATAGATTCTACATATTTTTTGCTAACAAATTTAAAGAGGTCTGCCAATTAAATGTGTATATATCAGAATTGCCACAAGATAAGCATTAAATTTTTAATGCATAACATCTTGGAATGTTAAATAAACCTTTAAAATAATCCATCAAACAAAAATATTTTAAAGAAAAGTCAACATCAGCAAAATGAAATGAGCCTATGTTGTAGATCAGTTTTTAACATTTTTTTTTGCCAGTCCAATCCAGAACAAATACTTTGTCAGCCAATTCTGGCACCTTCATATAGTAAATTTTTTTTAAACAAGTTTTAATGTTATATCAATAATCCAAGATGTTTATGCATAAAAATTATCTGCCAATCTAGTGTCGATTCTAATATATAAACAAGTATAAACCAGTCATTTTAATATTGGCACAGCCCTAAATATATGAGAGGCAAATTTCTACAAATTTAATCATCTTGTGTAGTGTTGGGGAAAAAATGGATATAGAACACTACAATCCTCAGCTAGCAAATATATAAAATTAACTTTTTGAAAATAGTAAAAAAATTATTCTTTCTTTCTTTCTTTCTTTATAAGCATATAATCCAAAATAAATTTAATGATCCATATTATTTTTTAAACAATTAAATAAATTTGTTTTAAAACTCTAGCTTTATTTTTAATATAATAACAAAGTTTATAATTTATAAAATATTAGATTTGCATTTTGATAGATGAGAAGAAATAATATTTATAACCTTGCTGATAAACCAACAATATGAATATAAAATTTTCATTTTGATTTATATTCACATAAAATATTTATGAATTTTATATTTTAATAAATTATCAAATGATAAATAACCTTTATTTGGGTCTATTTGTTCAAAGGATATGCGATCAAAAACTACAGATATCAATTGTTGAATTGTTGCAGCAGCAGTGCTGCTAATAGTTGAAATTTCTTTATCCTTAGCTACAATTGATTGATCAGTTATATAGTTTTTAAAATTCAAATTGAAGCACATAACTAAAGTTAATGCAAGGTGTTCATGTTTAATAATTTGATTAGAAGTTAATAGAACTATGATTGTTTGTAAAACACGTATTTCTTCCACACTATTAATCACTAAATTTTTTAGGATATCAACAACTATATAAGATGACTCCTATTGTATATTATTTTATTTATACAATAAATTAAAAATTATCACTTCATTTAACAATTGATATAATATTAATTTTTGAAGGCCCATCAATGATATAGAAATTAAATTATGTTGTTTAGTTTCACAAGCTAAAACATATGGTAAAATCAAATCCTTACCAATATTTAAGGATATATTTAAATCGTCACATATTTCTCGTAACTTAATAATAGCCTTTTCACAAGCCTGCATATTTTTTGAATATATTTAAATATATATATATTTGTACTTCTTTTATTGGTACATATTTCTTTTTCAATTCTGTTGATAGGCCCCGATAATCTGATTGCAAAACATCTAAAATTGGCTTTTGAATTTTCATTATCAAACTCCTTCAAATTTTTTAGACTTATGTAGAGTATTTAAAAACATCTGAAAAAAAATGAATATATTAAATTTTAATAAGTATAAAAGACTGATACACTGTCACTAATCAGAGAGCAATAAATTTGGCAGACCAAGAAGTGTATGTAAAACCATATTTGTACCTTTTATTTCAAAAAAAAAGACAAATTAAAAGAATTACATTAATAGAATTTCAGAAACTATCCAAATGTAAAAAAGTAAAATTCTATTTTCTAAATTTATTTATTGAATTGATATGGCCCAGGACCGCAGCCATGGGGTGCCCGGAGGGGTGGGCTGATCCCCTTAAAATTTTTTAGGTCCTAAATCCCAGCCCCCATAAAATTGGCTCCCAAAAAATCTGGTCCCCCCCCCATTTAAAAATTTATTTTGTATTTTATTATTTTTATATTTTAAAAAATTTTTAAATATTTATTTAAAAAACATGTCTAGTTTGTAAATTTCTTTCTAATCTGTTTTATTTTTATCCAATAATAAATCATCATTCGTTTATATTTTATCATTTTCATGTGTTAAGGGCTTAATTATCACGCTTAAATTTTACTTATTTCAATGATAATTATTCTATTTATTATAGTTCAATCACAATATTATTATTATTATTATATAACCAGTTATTTAAAACAGCGGTGAATATTTTAGAATTATGAAGAAACAATCATGTATTAATTCCTATATCAAGTTCAACAATTGTCAAGCAACATTACGATATCTACAATCTACTAGTATTATTACATCAGAACCGGAAACTGACTGCTCATAGTTAGTATAAATTACTATTATGTTTTGTTACTTAGTGAGGAATAATTTGGCCCTGACTTATATGAGCAAAAACTAGTCTCTATAGGGTTACCAATACCTATATATATTTCCAAAAAAAGTTATCTAATAATTCAAGTTTAACAAATTCCCTTGACCAGAATGAACAAAAGCAAATCAAATTAAACAATTACGTAGAAAAAGATATCCATGGAATGCTCAGATTATTTTATGAATCATGGTTATTTTTGTTTTCTATGTAGTGGCGTCACTAGGGAGGGGCGCGCAGGGGCTCGAGTTCCCTGAAAAATTTGTATGCTCCCTCAAAAATGTTTTTTCTAATGGCTCCTATCCCCTTGAACTAAAAATAAACTGTTTTGATTGTTCCCTGAACGATTTCTTTTAAAATTCTATTACGAAATATATAGATTTAATTTTATAATTTAAAATTTAATAAGACTATTTAAATTTTAATTATATGATTACTATTTTAATTATTAGATTAGATTAATACATATAAATTATATTTTCACTATGTCAGCTTTGAAGCTTAATTGACTTTATTAAAATTATTATATAACCCTAACTAAATAATTATAATCATATATTAATTTAAAATTAGCAAATTTAATATTGTAATTAGCCGAGTTCAAAATCACTAATCAACTATAAAATTCATTTTTAATTTTAATCACCATGCCTCTTCCTAAAAATATTTTTAAGGTCCAATTTCTTTATAAAAAAAGTAGACATTGTTTATAATCCCTATTTTTTATAATTGATATTAAAATATTAGGTAAAATGTCACTTTTACATAGGTATTTGATAGTTATATAATATATTACAGTTATTTTAATAAATTTTACTAATAAATGCTTTTGATAATAAATATAAGTGACAATTTGCATTTTTATTTTATTTTTCGATGTCCTACTTCGTAATCGTGACGTCATGTCATCGGTACGTATTTATTTTATTATATTTTGTATTTGTTAATTAATTTTTTTTTTTTAATATCTATACAAACAGATGAGCCTATAACTTCAGTTAACTATGCAATTGCAGGATGGCTGAGTAATTTAATTTATTTAGAAAATATTACAAATCTTTATAATTTATATTTTAAAAATTTTAAAAATCATTATATGCAAATGCAGGTTATCAAAATAAGACAGTTTTTATATACATATTATTTATAATCATCCTTTAACATTATATACTATTAAGTCTTTCATTTCCTATGCAAGTATTGGATGTCAAAGTAATACATTAAATAAATCTTATTACAAATTATTCATATTATCATTAATATTTTATAAAGCTACCATTCAAAAAAATACATTTACTCAATAAAATACCTACAGTCAAAACAATTATTCACCAATTTGTAAAATACATTATACTTAATATTTTTATTATTTCATTTATAAAGCTATGCAAGATGATATTACCACTCTCACTCAAGTATGAAACAATTATTCAATAATTCAATGTAAAATACAATATGATACATAATATTTTCACTATATCAATTATAAAGCTATTCAAGATTATATTACCACTCACTCAAGAAGCTGTTATCAGTGAAAACAATTATTCACCAATGTAAAATTCAATATGATACATAATATTTTCATTTTAACATTCAGTGGTGTAGCTACGGGGGTGATTTTCGGGTTTGGACCCCTCCCAGAGCAAAAATTTATTTTTAGATTATACGTTCAAAAGACTTCTAAGTGGTGACTTTATATCAAATAAATACCAATAATATTTATATTTTTATGGTTTTGATGTTTGTGGAAGGATATTATATTACTATTGAAATTATTCTGGTTAGTATTATTATAAAGTCATTGAGAATAATCTACTAAATTATAAAACAAATTAAAGGGGGTCTGGGGGGGGGGGCGCCCCTCAGGCTTTTATATGTATGGACCCCCTCTAAGGAAAATTCCTAGCTACGCCACACATTTATATTACAATAATCAAAATATTTTCATATTTATTTTATTTTTAAATAGATCAATCATCATTTAAATTTAAAGATTTATTTTTTTAAAAAGCATTTTATAAATTTATAAAATCAAAATATAATACCTTTTATACTCTAATAATTATTTTATATTATTTACAACATTGTAAAGGGAGGGGATTTTAAATATACATTTTATTAAGGGTGGCTATTTTCATTTTTTAAAATGTGTTGTTAGGAGGATTTCGCAACAAATATGTGCCCTACCCCCCCCCCCCATTAATATTTATGAAAATAGTTTAATTAACATTAAACACAATAGAATAATCTTATCTTTTTTCAAGCAAAAATGTGGTATAAAACAAAGATGTACCTTATCACCACCCATTAGAAATTACTATAAAATGAGTTTAAATTTCCAAACAGTGGATATTAATCCACTACACTAGATATCCTCTCTAAAGAGCACTAATTCTAGTTGACTCCTCTACACGTTTTATTTCAATTAAAATAATAATAAGTTGTATTGGTTCTTTCCTTTTCTTCCTTTTTTCCCCCTTTCCCTGTTCTTTTTCTACCATTTTTCTTTACCTTTCAATTTTTATAGGATTATTAAAATGCTTATTTGAGTCGATTTAAAAAAATAACCCTATTATTATTTTAGACAAAATAATATTGTATAAGCTTAGAGATTTGGCAAAATATAGGTCCAAACATTTTTGCCATCTACAAACAAAATCTTCAGTCTTACATATTATTTTGGCTAAAATAATTGGGTTGTTTTTAAAACTAAATTAGACTTTTTAACAATCCTAACTCCCCCCCCCCCTTATTCTTTTCTTAGTTATAACCTTTTTCTTTCCCCTTTCCTTTCCTTTATTTTTTTTCTTTCTCTTTCCCCTGCCTTTCCAATTTCTTTCCCTTTACCTTATATTCTCACTGCTCCTTTCCAGATTTTATTCCCGTTCTACTTTTCCATTTTCTTTTCTTTCTCATTTTCCTATACCTTTTTTCCCCCTTTACATTTTTTTCCTCATTTTTCTTTTCCTTGCTCTTTCTTTTCCTTACCCTTTTTCTTTATTTCCCCTTGTCATTTTTCTTTCACTTTTCCCTTTTAATCTATTTTTTCTTTCACTTTCCATTTTTCTCTATTTTTTATTTCACTTTCCATTACCCCGTTTTCTTTTCCATCTTTCTTTATTCTTTCCCTTTCCCAATTCCTTTCATATCTCCTGCTTCTTTCTATTCTTCATATTATTCATAGAAAAAGTTTAATTCCAACTGATTCTGGATTGCTACTTTTTTTTACAGCACCGGTAATTCCCATTAAAAGTTTGATCAAAGGAAAAGGTTCTCTCAAAAAAAAAGGTCCGATAAAAAAGAGAAATTCCAATTCAAAAAAGGAAAGTGGTTATTATTTTTTAAATATTTAAAAAAAAATTATATTAGGTTCCATCATTATAGAAAGCTTGCCAAAATATTCATCTTAATTCGCATATATACTTATTATTTTGCATATAGTAAATATTTGTATAATTTTTATTTCTCATTGTTCCTTCGCAATAAAATTAGCTATTGAAAATATACTCATTTATATTATGGCATTTCATAAATTAATAATATTTTTTTAATATCCGTTCTTAACCTCACATACCCTTATTATATTTTGTTATCCTTCGCCATTTGTTAATCATGTGAATTTCTGATTCCTCGCCATTTGTAATTCCCAGGCTTCACTCTCTCAGATCTAAAACAGGGATAGATAAATTAATTAGAAATTTAACTATCTCCAAGCTTTGGAAAATATTTTCAAAATTATTTTGGGTTAGACAGTATGGAAAATATTCCTCAAAATTAATATGGGATTGAACCTGGCTTAGGAAATTTTTTTTAAATTATTTTGTTTTGGACCAGGTTTGAGAAAAAATTTCATAATTATAATGGGTTTGGCTGGGTTTAGAAAAAAATCAAAATTATTGAGCTCTTGGAAGATTGGAAATTTTTTAATATATAATATGGGCCAGACATTGGGCTAAAAGAAATTTTAGCAGGCCTGGGACGAGCATGATCAAAAAAAGGACCATGAAGATCTCTAATTAATGCATTACGATTTTTTTAAAATTTTATTTTAGTTTTGAACTATCAAAATTCTTATGGTTTTGAACCAGGCTTGGGGAAATTTTTCCCAAATTATCATGGGCTTGGACCTGGCTTGAGATTTTTAATATTAAATATTAGCCATATGTAATCAATAATATTTTAGCAAAGAAATTTGAGTAAAA